AGGTATAACTGTACTTTGCCCTAGTGTTTTGCTTCTTTTTTTCTTGGGGGTCTGAACTTGATTAAATTTAATTTAAAGTATAAATTTAATCAAGTACATGGCGGTTTCAGACCACAAGAACGTTTGATATTGTAATATGCATGGGGGTTGGACTTTAGAATTTTGCATATTGATTAATCACAGGCTGATGGTGGAGTGTTTTTAAGTGATGTAAAGTAGCATCCAGTTGTAAATTGATAAGAAATGTTTTATTGTTCATGTTATTTTATTATCTTATTGTTTACCTGGATTATTGATGCAATACACATTGCACTTCGACATTGTTATGTAAACAAATGCTGTTTTTGTGTTACTAGACGATCTAGTGAGATATTGTTGAACAGACAGTAAGGGACAGTGATACTAAGATGTTGTATGTCAGTTTTTCATCATTATCTACCATATTGCGACTGTAATTTACTTACTTATTTCAGCATTATCACATGTGTTGTAAATTGGGCGCCTGCCATCTTTCTTACGAAGGAAATACAGTGCAGGGAACTAATTTTGTAACATAAACCAGCATCAGGATCAGCATAAGTAGGATCAGGATAGAACTAGCATCAGCATCAGCATTTAAAAATACAGCATTACTTGGATCAGCATCAGCAAGCAAAGGATAGAACTAGCATTGACCAAAGTGAAAACAGATAAAGGAAAGTCATTTAATACAAATTACAAATAAAAATTACCCCAAATATTATTTTTAATGGCTTAAAATAGCGATGCTGTTTTTGAATTATCCACTTCCGGCAGGATAATCCTACCTCCGGTAGCATTACTAGCATTGACCTAGTTTCAAACTAGCATCAGAATAAGGATCAAACCAGGATCAGGATAAGGATAACTAGCATCAAAATCAGCAAGCAAAGGAAGCATCAAAATCAGCAAGCATAGGAAGCACCAAAATCAGCATTGATGCTGTAACAAAATTATTTCCCTGCACTGTAGTCATGTGACATAAACATTGTCGTTTTACAATTGATAAGATCGAAATAACACTGTCCGTGTCTTCTGATATTTATAATTGATGCTTAAATGTTATTTTATTGCAGTATTGTCGTTAAATTATGCTTTATTTGACGAAATGTTTTGGAACTTGAATGTGTAGCGTAATACTTGTGTGTTTGCATTATTGTTCGGTATTACTACGCCATGGATTGTGTGTGTCCGTTTTATTACAGATTGTTTGTTGAACTTGTTTTATTATGTATATCGAATAGAATTTATAGCTCCTACTTTACATGTAGAGAGGACATTTTGAGCGATGTTATTTTCTTTGTTTTACACAAAATGTATGTAAAGTAGTTCTGAGAGGCTGCAGAAAAGACAATTATTCATTGGTTGATGTAATCACGTGATCATTTATAGAAGGTTATATATACGAGCAGAGAACGCCAGTTTCATCACGAAGATCGTAACGATCAGATCATATTACGTCATCAACATTACTGACTGTACATTAATAGCGACTTAGGTATAAGAAAATAATGTAAACTAATACAAATTAAGTAGCGTATAATTTCTCCACCGCACAGACACCGCAGTCCACTGTATTTTATTAGGCCAGAGATGTTTAGCTAGGACTTTATATACTCATAGATGTACTGACTGTTTTGTTATATTTCATTGAACATTGAAGTCTTTATTAAATGAAATATTTGAAACGAGAAATGGAACTTGGTTATGATTTACAAGGATGTGAAGTAAATTATTAAGGGTGTTTAAATATATGCGACGGGCGGAGGATGTCCCCCCCCCTTTTTTTATATGTGGACGGATGTCATGAGTAGTCCTGATAAAAGTTAAATGAATTTACACGGGATGGAAACATTGTGAGCTGATTGGCATTTGACAGGGTGCCGAGGAAGCTTACAATATATTATGTAGTCAATTACGCCATGTATTATGTAATCACGGTTTACATATTAATCATATTCATAATTCGGTTTCATTCTGTTGTAAATTTTGATACAGATAATAAGTTGTTTATTGATAATTTTATGGATCTCAAGATCAATTATTTCATAATTAATTACTAGTATATTCTCTAATTAAAGTCACATTAGTGGCAAATTGCAACATACCTAAATGTCTTGTTGTTTATGAGAATGGAGAGTGAAGGCGGTTTCTTGAAATACTGCGATAGTGCAATAAATGTGAGTTGGAATTACAATAGTACACGGAAATGTTAATAAACGAGAAGTTCCATAAATTAGTTATTATGTCAAAATAAATTGGCATTGGCAATTGTACATAAATTAGTTTTTGAATAATTTTTCAAAATTTAAGCAATTCAGTGCCTGTTTTAATTGGTATGTTTGATTGACACATCCTTGAACTTCCACAAATTTTAATTTTATTCTTATAACTTACGAAAAGCGGCAATTTTTTGGGGTAATTTTGAAAAATGTTTAATCTATAATCCAGAAAATTCAGAGTGGAAATGTTCGAAAGCAATGCCCACTCACATTATTGCCAGTCCGTAACGTAACGTATTGCCAGTAACGTAGAACCTTCGTCGTATGACATCATGTTTTTAGCCTGTGCTAGGTCCATTATGACGTCATAATCAATTTAGTGTTACTTTTTTCGCGTACTTTACAGCTTTAATAGAAATTGTAGTAAATCAAGTATTTTGAAATTCATGGAATTTAATTTTAAATCATGTCAAAATACTCTTAATACCTATAATCAATTTATATATTTTTGATTATAAAGCTAAATGACAAATATATCTCTCAAATTAGAGAAATCTGCAGGCATCTTTTTTTTACATAAAGTGGACAAATCCAAGACTTTGTCATGTAATGAAATTACATCGCGATAACTTGTAAATGGTATGCAACTATTTTTTGGAAATGCAAAAATCCTTTAAAAAAAACCTTTAGTTCCAACTTAAGAGTATAGTACACTGTATCTTGATAAATGTGTCTTGATTCAAAGATGTATTGAAGATTGTGTATATTTTTTTGTCTATCATGAAATATTGCATTCCTTTTCATAGTTACTTGTTTTATTATGTATTAATTATTTTTAATGGTCCGTGTTTGATTACTAATTATCTATTAAAATATGATCTTTCTAAATAGAAAAATTTAATAATTGATAAATATTCACATTGTAAATCCCCCCGCCCCCAATGATTTCAGTTAACGGCACGTGTTAAACGACTATTGTTCTCAAGCGGATCCAATTACATAGACGCTAAGACCCGTGTTTTTACTGCAGTTTTCAGATTCCTTCGTTCAAAACTGCGGATTTCTTTTCACTATTCAAACGATAATTATTGTTTCTTTAAACATAATTTTTACGTAAATTTATGCTGCGTTTGAAGCATTATGTAAATAAATATAATGATATTCCTTAACTTAGATATGACAACATTGTATTATTTTTTAAATGAAATTATACAAGAAAACTAAGCGTCGATAAAAAGATTTCATTATTTGATATATATTTTTTGATGTGCCTATCAAACAGTATTCAAGCTCAAAAGTCCATTAAAAAATGCAAATTTGTGGCAGAGCAAACACGGACCTTAAAAACGTCAGAGGTGGGATAAGGTGCCATGGAGGAGTGAACATCTCCTGCCGACTGGTCACACCGGCCGTGTGCACCTTGTCATGATCGGGATAATAATAGCAAAAAAGACTTCCATATAAGCAATTAAATGAGTGAATAGTGGTCTAACAATTAGTATGAAAAACCTCAGTCAGGATTTGACTTAAATATATTTGCTGAGAAGGTCATTGTATCGACCATAAAACTCACTGAATGAAAACTTTAAATGAGACTGCTGATATTCTTGTTTAACCAACTTGTTTGTCAATAACTTACCTCGTTGTAGAAATTGTTCATACATAGATCATGCTCTAGTGTATCGAATAAACTGAGAGATATAAACCCTGTATTCAGGTGATGAAGGTATACAAGTGCATATGTAGGGGAAGTTGACGATTGAAAAGTAAAAATCATCAAATTTATCAGAAAGCTTGATTTTTAGAGTACCATTATAACTTTCTTCTGTAGTAAAATAACCAAATATGAAACAGATGTGTCAGACTCAGTGGTATCTTTTATTTCAAGCTCACTGGGGTAATCTAACAAACAAGCTTAATGATAAAAGTGATGAATTTAACTTTCCAATCGTCCACTTCCCTTACTAATGCAGCAATATACCTTCATCACCTGCATACGGGGTTTATATATCTCAGTCGATTCGATACACAAAAGCATGGTCTACGTAAGGAAATTTCTAAAACAAGTGGAAATTTATGGACAAACCTGTTGATGAAACAAGAATACATGTATCAGGTGTCGATTAAAGTCTAAGAATATTTAAAAAAAGGCTATTGTGGAAAGATGTATTATTTCATAAGAAATAGAAAACAAATGACAACTAAAAATTAATAAGAATTTTCAGTATCGGTTTCTTAATTAACGTCTGACCTATAAATGCTCAATATTACATCATTCCAATGACACTACGCAGCGTTACGATCTGCTCATTAAGGTATTATTGAGGTTAATTCTTACTAGATTATTAATACATAGTTTCAAATTGGTGTGAAAATAAACTTATCTAACCAAGCTGACATTACCTATCTTAAATTTAGAGGTTGACCAGAAGACATTTTTACTTACAAAAAAAGGGGGCGTTCGATATTGAACGCTCGTATTCGGAATGTTTCGGGCATACTCATATCAGCATTCAATTAAACGCCAAGATATTGAACGCTAAAATACTCTAGATTTTTAGTAGTTTTTTTTATTAAAGACTATTAATTAGCTATAAAATGAATATATTTATTCTATGTGTAATCGCATTAATTATTTATCAAAATGAAAATGTGCATTCTATTAAAATTCCGTGTGTCAGGTGAGGAATTCGTATACCTATGATACCCAATTGAATCTTGATTGTTGTATATTATTTCAGTCTTCAAACTTGATTTTAGATTTTTGTACCGAAACCAGATATCTGCAATACCAAACAATGTGTTTAAAGAATTGCCAAATTTAGAGACACTGTAAGTATAGTGATTAAGCTTAAAAATAAAAACAAAGAATTACATGTATTTTTGGAGGAGTTAGCAACGCCTGTAGACCGGTCACACCCATTGTTAGATTTATTATTAATCAGGTAGACGGAATATTCCGTTGTCAGAGAATCTTTAGTATGAAAACGAAGGCCTAACCATTGATTTGAATCACGTAAGAGAAAATACAACTTTATTAGCTAATAAGGTGTCTATAACAACCCTAAAATTTACAAAATGCCGACTTCAAACGAGCTTGCTGAAATCGCTGTAACATCAATTTACCTGTTCACAACAATATCTCGATTTAAAGATTGATCATACACATAATACGTTCTTGAATATCGAATACATTTTGTAAGTTAAGAGAGGTAAACGCCATGTGCCCTATATTTGAAGATTCATTTTCCGATCCCATCTGTTTGATTTCAAAATGTTCTGTCAAAAACTGTGAAACCTGTGAGGATTTGATAACAAACTTTTCGTTTACTAGTAATCTTACAACTCCTATACCAAAACTTAACTGGAAATCTTCTAATGTTGTCTACAAAATAGAATGAACTCTTGGTGGGCCCAATTATGTTGGGGAAACGAAGTGTTCACTTTAAGAAAAAAAATATCGACGCATTAATTTCAAATTAACAATGTCACCCTTACTAATGTTATTGCAATTTAAATTCAAGACACGTGGTTAAGGTGGGCCTATGCAGAGGTTATAGGGTAGCACCGGTTTAATAGATTAAATTGGCAGTATACAGGAAAGTGCTATAGTCTGTTTCTTCAGAAAACATGTCCTGTGAAAAATGTGTTTCCACGCCTTTCTAAAAGACTTTCATGATTTCAACGGAAATGGGTGGCTTAAAGGGGGGATGTGTTAAAAAACAATTAACAATCTTATCATAGTTTACTGCAAAAATTGTAGCTCACTAGTGACAGATACGCTGGTTAAAAAAGGTGTAATATTATCGACACTGGAAAACCTTTGCTTGCCTTATATGGCTATTGCTATTAATGCGCACAGAGGATCTTACCACGAGCAACTGACCAATTCTTGATTGAATACGTTTGCGCCAAATACATGTTTACATGTTACTTCGAACCCGTGGTTCAGGTCAATCCATGATCATGTCAATGGAGTGCAAAATTAAAAAAAAATGTTCTTAGGAACAATATGCAAACATTAGAAACTGAGAAATATCACGGGCGATGTTAATTTGTTGTTAACTAGAGAAAAATATGTTTAAATATATGGATACGTAGTTAGTGTCAAGACCAGAACACCAGCACTTCAAGGGTAAGGAAAACGAACAGCATCTCGTATGCATTTAAATGGACAAAACATTGTTTACATAACTATACTCGTGATCATGTTTGTTGGCCAGGGAATCCACCTGACAATTGTATTCACCGATAGTACAATAAAGGAATTTATCAAGCGTAAAATTCTTGTAGTATTCGTATAGTAACCCATAATGCAGTATAGTTTCCGTTCCAATGCAAAATATTTGTCCTAAAAGAAATATTAATTCATGACGTCAGAAAATTGTATCAAAGAGGTTACTTATTATTTGAACTTAAATGAATTCAAGAGAGATCGATTGAAGTGCATTAATTTCTCCAGAATGATTATAGGGTGGTGAAAACTAAAACGCAACATAACTTTTCTGTTTACCATGTCTCCAGGTGCTAGTCACTTCCTAGCCACATTTCCGTGAATAATATACCCTATCTCGCTGAAGTCTCGCTAACTCTCGCCAGAGCCACTGACAGAGCTACTCTGAACTCCTTGGGTTTAATAATTTGCAGAATACAGAAAAATAAAAGGTTCCGAACACATAAGTAGGGATGAACTTGGACCAGTAGATTCAATACAAGCATTTTAAATAACCTGAAAATATCATTTTGTCAATGAATGTTAGAAAAGATGCACCATGAAATATAAAGAGTTAACAAAGAGTATTCAAGCTCAAAAGACCTTTTAAAAAAGTTCAGATCAGGAACAGAGAAAATAAGGACTCCTTAAACATAAGAGGTGGTATCAAGCGCCATGACGGAATGGCCACCCCCTGTAGACCGGACAAAACCGCTGTGTGCTCCTTCTTATATCAAACATCATGATTATCATAATGTTTTGTTGTAATGTTACTATTTATGTGTACATTCAGGCATCTGCATTAAGAAAACAATATATTTTTGGTAGATCTCTTTTGGAAAACAAAATCACATCAATACAGGATGATTCTTTTGACGGCTTATACAATTTAAGCAAATTGTAAGTATCAATAAGCTTTACTCAGTATGTTGCTGTGTACGTTTAATTATTTTACGTAAAACTTGAGTATAGTCTTTAATTAATAATCAGTATGATATTTTATTTGTGTACTTGTTTTAATATACTGTAAGTATGTCCGAATATCTCAGATACTAGGAAGAACTGACATACTTCTGGCTAAAGAATTTTTTTTATTGCTTAAAAGATTTATTTATTCACGTTTTGCGTATCTTGTTGTGGCGTCATGAATATTAATAAACTAAGAACATGTAAAAGAACAAGCTAAGGAACGGTTTTAACACAAATCTGACCCTGTATTTTTCTATAATATGGATATGGATATGATGTTTGTCAATAACTTACCTCGTTGTAGAAATTGTTCATACATAGATCATGCTCTAGTGTTTCGAAAAAACTGAGAGATATAAACCCTGTATACAGGTGATGAAGGTATATATGTGCATATGTAGGGGAAGTTGACGATAGAAAAGTAAAAATCATCACATTTATAAGAGAGCTTAGTTTTTAGATTACCATTTACTTTCTTCTCTAATAAGATATCCAAATATGAAAGAGATGTGTAAGACTCCGTGGTATCTTTTATTTCAAGCTCACTTTGGTAATCTAACAACCAAGCTTAATGATAAATGAGATGAATTTATCTTTCCAATCGTCAACTTCCCTTACTAATGCAGGAATATACCTTCATTACCTGCATACGGGGTTTATATATCTCAGTCGATTCAATACGCAAGAGCAATGTCTACGTAAGGGTAATTTCTAATACAAGTGGAAATTTATGGACAAAAAAGTTGATGAAACAAGAATATCAGGTGTCGATTAAAGTCCAAGTTTATTTTAAAAAGGCTATGGTGGAAAGATATATTAAAATTATAAGAATTTTCAGTATCGGTATTATTGAGGCTAATACTTAATAAATTATTAGTTAATAGTTCAAATTTGTGTGAAAATTAACACATCTTACCTAGCTGCCAGTACCTATCATAAATTTGCTTTTGAGAGGTTGACCAGACGACATTTGGCTTACAAAGGAACGTTAGATATTGAACGCTCGTATTCGGAATGTTTCGGGCATACTCATATCAGCTTTCAATAAAACGCCAAGATGTTAAACGTTAAAATTCTCTAGATTTTTAGTAGTTTTTTTTCTTATTATACACTATATCTTAGCTATAATATAATGAATGTATTTATTCTATGCGTAATCTTATTAATTATTTATCAAAATGATAATGTTTATTCTATTAACATTCCGTGTGTAAAGTGAGGAATTCGTATACTTATGATATCCAATTGAATCCTGATTGTTCTATATTATTTTCAATCTTCAAACTTGATTTTAGATATCTGCACCGAAACCAGATATCCGCAATACCAAACAATGTCTTTAAAGAATTGCCAAATTTAGAGGAACTGTAAGTATAATGATTGAGCTTAAAAATAAAAACAAAGAATTACATGTATTTTTGGAGGAGTTAGCAACGCCTGTAGACCGGTCACACCCATTGTTAGATTTATTATTAATCAGGTAGACGGAATATTCCGTTGTCAGAGAATCTTTAGTATGAAAACGAAGGCCTAACCATTGATTTGAAACATGTAAGAGAAAATACAACTTTATTAGCTAATAAGGTGTCTATAACAACCCTAAAATTTACAAAATGCTGACTTCAAACGAGCTTGCTGAAATCGCTGTAACATCAATTTACCTGTTCACTACAATATCTCGATTAAGAAATGGACCATGCCAAGAGCATTCTCTTGAATATCGAATAAGTTAAGAGAGGTTAACACCATCTGCCTTATATTTGAAGATTCTTTTTTCGATCCAATCTGTTTTATTTCAAAATATTCTGTTAAAAACTGTGAAACCTGTGAGGTTTTGATAACAAACTTTTCGTTTACAAGTAATCTTACAACTTCTTTGCAAAACTGAACTGGAAATCTTCTCATGTTGTGTACGAAATAGAATGAACCCTTTGTGGGCCCATTTATGTTTGGGAAACCAGGTGTTCACTCACATCTGTTTTTCACTCATGTAAATTTCATTCAACATTATTTCATGAATAGTGAACGTGGATCATCAGCTTTAAAAATGTATGTGTTACTTTGTAGGTACATCTTTAGCAATAACATAACTACATTAAACAAAGACATGTTCCTGGGACTTCCAAAATTAAAGACGCTGTAAGTATAGTATTTTTTAGATAATTCGATTTTTGTAATGTTGAAAATGCTTTATATAGCTTAAACATGTATTTTTGTCTTAGTTGATTATGAAATATTATTTTAAGATTTGATATACAGAATTTTTATTGTTTTATCTATATATCAGAATTAAAAGAGATATCACACATTAAAAATATGATAGATTTATTTGTTAAAGGTCAGTGGAAAGGAATCCTCTGCACTGTGACTGCATCTTAGCCGATTTTGTCAGATTTTCCAAATAAAGGAACTTAACATTGAAGAATGACATAGAACCGAAATGTTCAACTCCGAGTAATCTGACAGGAGTATTGTTACGGGATCTCTCCTCAGAGGACATGAATTGTGACGTCACTACAGCAACAACACCAGTGCGAGAAACGTCTGGTAAAATGATTATTTTTATTCAATAAAAAACACTGAATTGTCTGAACTTAAAATCACTCCTAGGCATTATCTATGTTTAGAGGCGAAAAGCGAAAAAAAACTTATGCATTATTTAAACGCCTACATCTCACCTACTTAACTTATCTTTATTTGTTAATACGTTTATTTTTTATGTATGAATGATTATCTACAGAAGTAGGAGCTAAACTAAGCTTCATATTCATTCTGCAAGGTAAGATTGCTCTTGCTGTTACCAAGCAGGGGGACAAAGTGCGATTAGCTATGAAAATTGCTGGAGAAGGGTCTTCCTCAATGAAATTCTGTAAAGGGGTCTCTTATTATTGCTTATATTGAAAATAATTTTCTTGTCAATAGTTATTGTTGGTTTGAGCTTCCGGGCTGATATTGATGATTACTGAAGGCCTGGTATACTTCGCAAAACTACAAAAGGCATTCTATAGCTTACAAGAATGGACCTTAGACTGAAATTTAATAAAGGGGATTGAGCAATTGATTTCCAGCACTTAATTTAACAAAATTTAAAATTTTAAAATTCAAAATTAAAATAAATTGTAATTGGAACTCCTTTAACTTGATTTATGACCGACGTTCAATCGGGTTTTTACAAGAACATAACAAAGCGTCTGATTGCTTTATTTTGCGAATTGCTTTGAGAAAGAACAAACGCTGATATTCGTGAGTTTTTAAACTTGGTAAATAATTTTGACCATTACCTTATTTTTAAACAAGTTTTAGAGAATTTCATCCAACAGGTGTATCTATATAAACTTCTGGATCCGTTCCCGAATTAATAATTGCTTGTACATTGCAGATACTTACTTGCGCAGTGCGTTAAGTTTTCAAGCACATGTTATTCCTTAAATTTGAAAAATAGTATACTATGAAAAAGTGGAGGTTTGTTGGTGGCTTAATTTAAATCAAAAACTTTGGTTATCATATAAATTTGTTCATCAAGAAAGAATCTAAAAAGGTATCGCAGAATTTTTTATTTGTTCAACCATATAAAAACCTTTTTTTATTTGCTAGATCAACGATGTTGTACATGTTTATTTCTGATAAAGTTCATCGTTCGTAAGGAAATACAAAGAATTATAAGGAAAAAATGTGATCCCTTACAATTATATATTCAAACAAATATGATCAGTTACTGTAAATGTATTATATTAGGCGTGTACGATATTTGGCGTAAACTGATTTTTGAACAAGTTAGCGTGGATTTGATTTAGCGCATTTCTTATTGTTTTTATTTTTTAGTAAATATGCAAGACAATTAGCTTTGTACTTGAATTAGCGGAAGTTTCTTTCCGCCAAAGGCGCTAAAAAGAATACAAATCCAAATATAATACGTTTACAGTATATGTTCACATTACATAATGAATCCAAATTTAAACAAAAAGAAAAAAAAACATGAATTATTTAATTAAATAAAAGTTTTAAGTTACACATGAGCGAGCGATTTTTATTTACTTAATTGTTTTTATTTTATTTTATTTCATTTCATTATTTCATCTATTTTGGTGAAATAGAGATAAAAATGAAATATAGCAATAAGTGAATAAGGTTTATCAAGCAGTATGCAAAATTATGTCTGTTTAATCTATCTCACATGGAGTCGAGCTTACCCGATCCAATTCGAAACAGACTTATTTCTGTTCCTATTTTTAGTCTCTTTGATGACGTTGACTGTCAATGGAAATTGAGTGATACACAATATATGGTATCGACTGTTTGACTAAACATTACATTTTATGATAGTTAAAAAAAAATAATGTCTGTTCGAATACTGTTCGTTATTTCCACATATTTCAGCATATGACTGACTTTTATCACCATAATGAACTTCATTTGCTGCACGAAAATGCGCAGAATTGTGTATACTAAACTGAAAAGGTTAATCCGCGGATTTTGACCAAGTGGAAGTAGTTAAATGTACGGTGTTTTTCGATATTTATTAATGCTAGAGACTGAAAGATTAAATGCTGGAAAGAAACTCATGAGAATGCCATTTTCTCCTTCAGGTAAGAATGAAAAAGAAAATCTTTATTAAAATGGAAATCACGAAAGCTATTTAAAAGCGAAGAGAGAGAGAGAGAGAGAGAGAGAGAGAGAGAGAGAGAGAGAGAGAGAGAGTTCCTTTATCAATCAATCACCTCAGACGATTTATGGAAACCGGTCTTTTTTTCAAATAGAATTGATAGATCAAACAGGAAAAAAACCTTTATAATAGGAATAAAATGACTTTATTAATTGACTATGGTTTTTCAAATTCTTCGTCAAAAATGCGCTCCGGCTCGATTCATTATCTTTTTAATCGTGACTTTTTCTTGTTAAGAAAAAAAAAACTTATTCACCTCCAGGGGATTAGTTACTCTTCAGGTAAGATTTCATTTGTACAATACTTTATTCAAAGCAATAGTGTTGTGTTATAATTGTTTTGATTAAACAATATCAAAAGAAGATAATAACCCCCAGACCATTATTATTTGTGGTAATAGTATCAAATATTTATAAAAGGCCTAATATATAATTATATTTATTTAAAAATCAATCAATCTAAAGTGGTGTACAGCAAAGTAAATATATATTTATAAAAATATGAACACAACATAAGGAATAAAATAATATTGAATGGTAGAGGATATTAAAATTTGGTATTTATAAAATTAAAAAAAAAAATGAAAAACAAGAAAAATGTTATGAATATCAAGATTTAAATGAAAAAAAAAAGAAAAAAAAATATAAAAATAAAGTTTGGCAGAAAAAAATCTAGATTTTTAGATAACATAGTTAAGAGTCACATATGTGCTCTTGCATAAATCACAATTCAATAAAATTCTATAATAACGCACCAAAGATGGAAATTTAATCGAATTTCTCCATAAAAAATAGATTTTAAGATATTTTTAAAAGTGTGAATAGATGGATATGAAAGCAGATATTAAGGTAATAAGGCCAGAGGGATGCTGCACAGCCACATTAAAACGTCTGTTGCCATACATTGCGGTCTTTGCAGTATCGGCTTTTTGCTGATCTAAGGGAACGACCAGGTTCATAGATGTTGATGAGCTCTACAATGTATTTTCATGCCATGCATTTCATAGCTTTGAATTGTATAAAGAAAATTTTTATACTGGATGCGTTTCTTGATTGGAAGCCAATGCATAAACATATTAAGAATAGGAGTAATGTGCTTCCTTCTGGTACGGGTAATATAGTACTTGCCGCTTTATTCTGTATGCACTGCAATTCGGCTAGATCAGATGAGTTAATACCATAGAGCATGGAGTATAGAGCATTAGCATAGTCGAGCCTAGACAGCACAAGAGCAAAATTCCCCCGTAATCATTGGCCGTTTGTAGTACCATGCACGAGACGCGGATGGATGAAATTTTTTTTAGCATGCTGAGAGACATCAGCTATACACCGAGGTCCTTAACACTGGTTGCCTCACTAATGATGGTGTCATTGAAGTTCAGATGGCAAGATGGAGACTTTGACTTGATATTTACCAGCAAAAACTATAAGTTGTGTTTTATCCTCAGGAAATTTAAGCATATTGGTGCACATCTACTGCTTGATTTCTTAATTATCAACTCGTTTTCATTAGAAGTATAATTTTCAGTATATTGCATATTAAATTTTTACTATATTCTGGTTATCAAATTTTGTGATAAAAGATAGAACTCAAACAGGTAAGGATTTTATATATACAATTACATTTGATTGTGTTTATGCATATATATTTCAATACTGATCAGTTATAGAAATTGGTATCTAATCTCAAATTTGGTTTTGCTTAACATTCTTTTGTTTAAAGAATTATCCTTAACAAAAACTCAAGGAAAATGCATGCAAAGTCTCACTAGAAGTAGAAAACAATTTTTAATCTTACATTCTAACTACACTCACTTGGGTTGTACCACTATATATATATATATATATATATATATATATATATATATATATATATATATATATATATATATATATATAGTTGAAAATAGTTCACAGTCGATGTCACACAGGTGAAAATAATTATAAAAGAAAAAGAAAATGAAGTTTCCAAAATTCATTTAACACAAGCGCTTTCTGGATTTCATAATCCGTCTTCAGGTGTACATAAATTGAACTGATTGTTTTGCTTAGTAACGTTAACTATGACGTCATGACGTCATGAGAGTCTTTGCAGGGAAGGAAGTAATCTATGACGTCATAGTATGGCTACGTTGCGTAAAAGTTAGGGAAAATCAAATTGGACAATAATGGACAATAAATCACATATTTTTCTGTCTCAATAAACAAAGCAAACAGAAATTCTAATTGATGATATAATAAATTAGGTAATTTCTCAATGTTAATGTTTGTTCAGTTTTGGTGAAAAAAGATTTATGAAGTAGTTTTCTTTTGCTAATCTCATTGCAGTGGAATCGTTCCTAAGTTTATAAACTTACTAATGACTTATAAACGTTACTAAGCAAAACAATCAGTTCAATTTATGTACACCTGAAGACGGATTATGAAATCCAGAAAGCGCTTGTGTTAAATGAATTTTGGAAACTTCATTTTCTTTTTCTTTTATATATATATATATATATATATATATATATATATATATATATATATATATATATATATATATATTGAAACAGAAAAAAATCCACAGTGCTCGGTAGTTTACAGGTAAATCTTTTTAAAAAAGAAACACGAAAATCTTTAGTTTAGCTTAAGCGCTTTCATTTCAAATCTTCAGAAGCTTTATAATACGTAACATAGCAACATAACGTCATAACGTCATAATAAGCGGAACATTACATACAAACGTCTATTGTGACGTCATAGTCAAACTTTGCGGGAAAACTGTAGAATGAAAATAGTAAGTACAATTTTTACAACAATTATGCTCAATTGTTCAGTCTAGTTTTGAACAAATGTATAAAATGTTTTTCTTTCTCACGTCTTTGAATATCACTTTCACTTGAAAGTTTGTAAAAAGGAATTATACTGAATTGTTTATTTCCACAAGTATCCAAATGTTCACTCAGAGGGATTTGCCGATATTGCGGAGAATTAATATGTTGTCGGTGGACACGCACCCGGGCACGCAATTGATTGCTCGTTTCCCCGATATAAAATTCTTGGCATCCAGCACACGTTATGACATATATTACATTTTTAGTGGCACAAGACATGTTTGCATTGACTGTAAATTGTCTTCCTTTAAAGTCAAAAGTTGATCCTTCCA